TTTGATGAGTGTGTCAATATCATAATGATCGAGTTCTATTGGGATCTACAAACAGTGCACTTATAAAATATGCAAATATACGAAGCAAAGATAATGGTCTAGTTTTTCATTTATTGTAACGGTAACTCCTATTTTGGGGTTGAGGATATTCTTCTTGGAAGGGAAATTTAAAACGCGAGTTCCATGCATTAACAGCTAAATGGACTATCACCCAAAAGTGAATTAATTCTAACGTGTCAATTTTTATCCATTCTAAACGAAGATATTATTGTGTAAAGAGAGAGCGAGCAGTGGGGTGGGCGAATTACCGTATTCAGTCGAGGACAACTCGATTAAGCGTGCCCGTGACGTATTTTTTGCTTCAAAAGACTATTTTTACGATTATTCCGGTGCGCATGCGGCAATAACAAAAAAGGGACTGATTTTTCTAGTTAAAATTCGTTATATCCTAGTCTGGAAAAAACATTCACTATAGTGGAGCGACTTGCGTTTTGGATGTTTCTCGTTTTACGGTAATACAACTCATTATTCAGAACAGATTTAAAGCGACCGCCAAAATTAAGAAAATGTGATCGCCTAGAATAACAAGGAAATGCGTATACACCTTTACTAGCAGGAAGTAAACTGCAACAGTAGTAAAACAATATTATTGTTAAGCATTTCCTACATACTAACTTAATTGACATAGGTTAAGGAAAGTAAATCTGTGATATAAATAGCATGTAAGCGCTTACAATAGATATTACCAGTTAACAACATCCGAAGTGTCGGTAACGTACTGGGTTTGAATTGTATTCCTGACCGAATTACACAATGCTACATTTAATCCATTAAACATTCAACGACCACATGGGTTCCGGTCCCAGTAAAGTGCACAAATAGCGAGTACGGAGAAGGAGAAGCTGACCACGGAGCAATACAAGCTCGCAAAAGTCGTGGAGATGCCGAAAATATGTCATCCAAGAAGCCCACGGGGGGTATGATGTTAAACTGCGATTTACCTGAGACGTTAGAGGTCCGCTACGAAATTGCATAGGAAGCGGTTCACCGAATTATAGTGTCACTATGTGAGAAGGAATCACGAGAAGAAAAGGAATACGAAAGGGTTTCTCTCCCACGGATACAGATGCCACAATTTGAGGGAGACCACGCAAGATTGACTAGCTTCCATGACCTACTATTTACCGGCGTGCCAGCAAACTGCTGCAACACCTACCGGTATGTGAAGCCAACTACAAGGACGCGTGGAAGCTGATAACGAACCGCTACCAGAATAAGCGGCTACTGTTACCCAAACAGCTGAGCAACATCTTTAACATACCTAAAATGGGTGCAAACTCGCTCTAGCGGGACTTACAAGCCACCCATAGCGCAATTGCCGATAGTTTCCGCGCCATTAACAACACGGACCTACTCGTGGGCGCCCATGATGATGCACATCGTATACGAAATGGTGGATGCGGCAACACTGACCGCCTTCCTTGCAAGCACCAGAGGAGGTAGCACCATTGGAGCAGTCCTTCAGCTTCCTAGAGGCAAGATTTCATTTATTGCAACTCACCAAGGGCAACAAAACTATAGAAACCACCAACAGAAGCAAGGCGGAAAGATGTTGGACACCACTATACCACAGGAATTGCATAAAGATCACCATCTGCCAACCTGAAAGAAGTTTGGTGAACTGTCCACAACGGAACGTTGGAAGATTGCCAAGAAAAATCAGTTGTTCTTCAATAATTGTCTAAAGCACTACAAGAAGACAATCTGTACGAGTAAACATTCTTGCAAACGGCACCACAGCATGCTTCATGTCGAAAGCAGCGATGAGAATCGCCGAGAAGTGGCTAGCAACCTCTCCAAAAGCGAGGAAAATGCCACTGAAATATCACCAGCCACCGCCATTATCACAGTACAAAATCACTAAACAAAAATGCTTCATTACCGACGAGACTGGTGAACGCTTGGATCATCGAAGAAAAGGGGTTTCCGGGGAGGTATCACACACAAAGAACAAGTACAAATTGTGCACAACCCTTGTGCAGGTAAAGCGCATTTTTTTAAACACCCCTACGAAATTTCTTCCATAAATAAGAAACATAAATAAGAAACATTCTACACAAAACCAAATTTGGAATATGGCGCTACATTTGCTTTTATTCCAAGTGACCATGCATCAAATTTCATTTAAATCTCTCTATAAATAAGAAAGTTGGCACTGCACATGCGCAAAACGAAATTTTGAAACTGGCGTTAAATTTGGTTTTATTTCAACTGGCTATTTATCAAATTTTGTTGAAATGCCCAATGGTTATATTTCTTCCAAACGTCCCATTCGCCCTTTGTAGGTACTTTCCTTTGACAATTCACTCTTAAGACATAGGGAATTATAACCGAACACGACAAGGGATCGAGGAGGAAGACTATGGTTAGCATAAATTAATTCGTTCATTAGAGTACCATGAAGGATAAAACTCGTTCCACTCATAAGAGAACAAAAAGAAGGGCAATAGTTTGTAGAAAACTGTTCCTTTCGTTGAGACCTTTAATTAGAATACAATGAAAGATCAAATTAAGTTTTAACCCTCTCCCCCCCTCAGACCCTGTATTGCTTGCCATTTCAGATGGCAAACTCCGACTGCTACATCAACTCTAAGGGACCTCCTAGACTTGGAACCGGAGAAAGCTGTGGACAAATTAATTTTATGAAGGCTTAAGGGACTCGCAGCAGCACATTTACCAGAGGGGTGGCTAGACTGGAGAGCTAACAAGTTCGAAGGAGATAATTTGCTGGAAGACGGGTTATTGCTAGAGCCTTCAGACCCAATGCCACTAGCCTTTCTGACCATACAGAGACACGAAGGTTAAAATGTTGACTTTACCCTTTTTCGTGGGTCTCCCTATAGGTCCTCTCACGCTGCCAGCGCGGGTTCGAGGCTCTGCAGCGCAAAGCAAGATTATAGCAGCAGGTTGGAGACAGGACAGTACAAGGGATGTGGTCAGAAACACTGGCATATAAATCGAAAGGAGCTTTCTGCAGCGCATGTAGCAATCCAATCGTTTGCGAACGAACTAAGATGAACGTCCGTCCTGATCCAATCCGACAATCGAGCAGTGATGGCATATATTCAAAATCAGGGAGGCATGAAATCAGTTCCCATGTGCGATCTTGTAACAAAACTTTTCAATCTGATGCGGGGACTGAATACAACCCTAACAGCTCACTACATTTTGGGCTCGTGCAATGATATAGCGGATGGGCTATCCAGGGGGAAATCAATGGCAGATTGGCACCTACTAGAATCGGTGACGAGGGGAATTCGGAAATGGGGATCCCTCAGAATAGACCTGTTCGCCACTTATCAATCGGAATGACCCTCGAGCATGCGCGAGACCTTCGTTTCGAGGCGTGGAAGGTACAGGTTGGTCCAGGTGCACAGCAAACTGGGATCAAGACGATGTAAACATATTAGAGGGCGCGTGGCGCAAACCTTCTCACAGAACGACGTACGCAGCCCCATGAAAATTCTGGATTTCTGGGGCAGAGGACACCGATGCAAATGATTGTAGATCATTCTCGGTGGCTCGTTATTTGGAATATCTCTGTCGAGTGAAAAACATGGCCCCAAACACTATCAAAGTACGCAAATCAGTAATCGCCACATTTTCAAACACGATGAAGAAAAACGATATTGCAAACCACACCTTGGTCAGGCGTATGATTAAAGCAATCGAGGCTAGAAACCCCATAGCGAATAGGAAAACAATCTGGGACGTAGATAGCCTGGTTACTTGGATGATGAAAGATGACGTATATAGCATCTTTCTGGTTTCTCGCCGATTGGCTCTGATATTTCTGTTGGCATTAGGGCGTAGGATTCGCGACGATTTGCAGATGTAGATGGATGTAACATATTCCTGTAGAGGTTAATTTCAAAGTTCATTTTCGTAATTAAAATGTCAAGTCTAAATATAGTCATGACTCCCAAGTGCGAATGTGGATGTATGAGATTAATGCTCAAATGGAATTTATTTATTTCAGTTAATTGTATCCGAATTTGGAATTTAAATATGGCCACCATGAATCACGAAGAAAATTAGATTTAAGTATATAATGATCGCGGTGTAAATAGAATTTTGTTCATAGTATGTAAATAAACCAAGTTAGGGAAAATCTGCATAAGAGTATCGAGTATTAACGCCGCCGCCTTTTAGCGGAGCAACATCTATGCCGTTCGCGCCCGTAAACCATAAGCGCGTATTTTGTAATATGCGAATTGAGTCGAAATTTTAAGAAAATAAAAGTAAAGAACCGAGCGAAACCATCTCCATCGAGCCACCGTATCTAAGCCGAAGACGATTCCGGAGAAAATTAGGAGGATTGTGAAATAACCGAAGAAGATTCCCACTTGTTACCGGGTAGAACGTAGAATAACGTGGCGGTTTAAATAACATATATTACACTATATACACAGTCAAAAGACAAGAACAACGTATGTACAATATTCGATGACGCGTATCAAACTACTTAGAGTAGCGGTACGGAAATGGTGAGTTGCCCTAGGCCTCAATCTGCCTACTCCTAGGGTTGATCCAAGACGCTCGATCGATGGATCCCCTTAGTGCTGTCGGTTGGTGCTTATATAGGTAGCCGCCGTTAATCCCCAGTATAGTAGGCTCCGCCTACTGAGTAAGGGTAACAGTTCCCCCCCGCTTCGAAGGATTCGGCGGCTGGTGGTTGGACGTGGCTGGCTGCGCCCTGTTAGCTTCCTGTGCTGGTTGGATTCGTTGCGGTATGTTGTAGTGGCGGGATGTTCTTTTGTGGCGTGGTGGTGTGGGCGAGATGGCGGGTCTTGGTGGTGGGTGAGGTGTTCCTCGATCTGGCGGTGGCGGTTCCCGTGCGGCCTCTCTACGATTGGGGGCTGGTCGTAGGTCATGGATATGGACCTTCACCTGTTCTCTGTCTCGCTGGATGAAATATGAGTTTGTGCCTGCGTTGGCGATTACTCTATATGGCCCTTTCCATTTTCGCTGAAATTCTCCCGTTGCGAGGTCTCGGGATCTCTCCATACTTCGTCCCCTGCTTGGAACTGCACTCTGGTTGGTCCGAAGTTCGCGTACCTGGATCGGTAGCGGTGCTGGTTGCGGTGGACTGTCCGGATCGGTTCCTCGCGTTCTTCACCTTGGCCGATGGGAGTTGCCGGGGCTTGAGTCGCATGCCATTCTCCTGGCCTGGAGAGTTCATATCCAAGCAGGGCATTGCTCGGCGTCGTTCCCGTGGCAGCATTTTTTCTCGTCCGGAGGGTGAAGAGGATGATGGGGACTTTCCTGTCCCACATCTGTAGAGCCTCCCCGTCGAGGTGTATGCGTAATCCTTTCTTAATTTCCTGGTTCCGCCTCTCCACTGGGTTGGCTTGGGGATGGAAGATAGGTGTCGTCCAATGGTAGCACCCCGAGTGTCGGAGTGCGGCATCCCAGGTGACGGAGATGAATTGTGGGCCATTGTCGGAAACTATCGCCCTTGGGAACCCGTATCGTCCCAATACTTCATTCTCCAGCCGATTGACTACAGCGTCGGTGGTTGTTAGCCGGAGAGGGAAAGCTTCTACCCACATGCTGTATAGGTCCGTCACTACCAGTATGAACCGATTTCCCCGATGTGAGGTGGTGTAAGGTCCCATTAGGTCGACGGAAATCACCTCCCACGGACGACTGGGTTGTCGTGGTCGGACAGTGGCTTCTTGAATGGGTCCTCGCTTTGCCACGGTGCATACCCAACAGTTCCGCACGTAGTTCCTAACGTCTTCTCCCATTTTCGGCCAGTGGTAGTGGGAGTATATGTCCCGTTCTGTTGGATTTGCGGTAGAGATATCCGTCGTGGGAAGTGTAGTTCCGGAAGAAACGGTTTTGGGCGGGGTCCGCGGGCCCGTTGTCCTGGATTAGGTTTCACGTAGTTATCAAATTGCCAGCGTGTGGATTGTTTTTCTGGCTTTGCTTCACGCGGTCGACAAGTTCTGCCACTTCGATGTTGGCGAGGAATGGTGGCCCTGTGTCTGCTGGTGGGGAAGGCGGGGGTAGGAGGCGACTGATGTCTTCTTCGGTATTTTCTTCCACGACTCGGTCTGTGGGGTTCCTCGACAGGTAGTCGGGGAGTTCGTTTTCCTTGCCGGGGCAATGTATCACGTCGAAGGAGAATTCTTGCAGTCTCAGGACCCATCTGGTAAGTTTACTCTTGTCGTCCTTCGTTCGGTCTCGACTGTCCGTTTTGAATGTGAACTTTCTGTCCTCCAGGTATGGTTGGTATCGCTTGACCGCCCAGACGACCTCCAGACACTCTTGTTCATTCACATGATACTTGCACTGTGCTGATTCCTTGTTTTAGGCGCTTCGGCGGTGCGGATGGCCTCGACGTGCTCCCGTAGCGGTTTGTTGCCGTCTGCTTCAATGGTGTGACCAAGGTACTGAATGGATTGTACCCCAAAACGGCATTTCTTTACCGATAGTCGTAGCCTGTGGTGCTGAAATCGCTCTAGCACTAGATGGAGGTGGTGAAGATGTTCTTCCCAGGTCTGCGAGTACACAATGATGTCGTCTAGGTAGACCATTGCGAATTTGTGTAGATATCCTGGCAGAACTTCTTGTGTCATCAGCTTTTGGAATGTTGCTGGCGCAATCTTCAGGCCGAAGGGCATCACTCTGAATTGATAGGCGGCTCCGTCATGTGTCGTGAAGGCGGTTAACGGTTTGGACGCATCATCCAGTGGTACTTGCCAGTATCCCGATTTTAGGTCCAAGGTTGAGAAGATCTTTGCGGTCCCCAGGTCCCTTAAGGTCTCGTGGATAACGGGTAGGTTTGAGCTTTCGTCCTTTGTGATGGCGTTCAGCCGTCGGTAGTCCACACAGAACCGTGGTTTGCCGTCCTTTTTTTTCACCACTTTCTATTCTGAGCGCGGTCCGTGTGCGTTGAGAGTCGCACTGAAGCCTGCCTGTGATTGGCCGAACCAAATACGAATAGCAGCCTGCAGTGGGTGGACCTAAACTTATTTTAACTTCAACATCAATCGGAGAGAGACCAAGATCGCGTTCTGACTCCTGGTGCTTAATATAAACAGTAGACTAAACTATCAAAAAACTTTATCGCGTCGTAGTTTACCATTTTTCGTAGTTCACCCCGTTGTAGTTTATTGTGGCGGCCTGGAACATATCTTTGGAGTTGGGTAAATTGACAAACAGGCAGAGTGTCAGGAACAATAAAACCGGAATGAAGATAACTACAGACAGTAGCGTCAGGGAGTGAGTCACTTGAAAGTACCCCACGCTTGCCGGCGGCACGGAATGGGGACAGAAGCACGTGATTGGAAAAATCGTCATCTTCGTCCACGTCAGCAAATGTCTTGACGACGCACACGAAGCAGTCTCCAACAGGCAAGCGTCGACGAAGAAGCACCGTCTTCAACACTTTTACCACGCGCGACATACCCCAGGTCACCCTTTCCGTTACAGAATAGACAATTTTATGTACAGATACTGCTGTTTGAACGTGAATGTGTCAGTAGAAAAAATGATAATGATCGTTGTTCAAATGCAACTGCAGATGTCTGTGAAGTTGGCCTGGATAAAATAGCCCGGCAGCATCGCAGCATGCTAGATCGTTAGTGCTTTGTTAGTGCTCGTTAGTGCCTCATAAGATAACATAAGGGCTCAAACCGTTTTTTCAGAATAAAATTTTTTTTTGTTCGGGTCAACTTCACGTTTGCCCGGACAATGACTCCAATTTGCATAAAATTTTGTAGATCGTTAGTGCTTTGTTAGTGCTTATTAGTTCTTCATAATTCAATGTTAGGACTCAAACCGTTTCCGACATTTCAGATTTAATTGTTAAGGCTCTGCGGTATCGGTATCGTTGGCGGTACAAATTCTAAATGTTGTTTTTTTGAGAAAATAAGTTATACGTTGATAATAGCTCTTAAAAAAATATTTAAAAAAATCGCGAACATTTGATAACCGTAAAAAATAATTTTTGGTCAGTTTCGCATGAACTTTCTACTTTCCTAACTCGGTTACGGTTGAATGAATGAAGCTGATTTTTTTACAGATTAATGATATATGTACTATTCATAACTTCACGGTGTTTCTTTTTTAAAATTTTTCTCTAATTATAAAATATAACTTCTTAACGAATGATGGTTTTTTAACAAGTTACATGTAGTAATTAGAGAAATTTTTTTAAAAAAGATTGTTTTTGAGCAGTCTAACTAACTTATTACTATGTAGGTACACAAAAGTGCAGGACGCAAACATTAGGACGCACACATTGTGACGCGGACATTAAGACGCAGACATTAGGACGCAGACATTTTGACGCGGATACTGGAACGCCGGAATTAGGACACCGATCCTAGGCTAGGACTAGACGTCTGCTTTGTAAGGTGATCTACAGTACATTATGCTTGCATTCTAATGTCCGCGTCTCAATGTCCGCGTCCCAATTTCTGCGCCTTAATATCCGCGTCCCAGTGTCTGCGTGTTAATGTCCACGGCCTATCGTCTGCGGTCTATTCCCTTTGCGGTATACTGTCTTGCGGTCCAATGTCCGCGTCCTTATGTCTTGCAGTTCAATGCCATAGCGCCGGAATTTCGTTTCAAAGGTAAAAATTTGTTTGGTAAATTTTAGAGCAAACCGTCTTTTTCATAATTTTTACGTTTTGCGTTTTTATTCAGTACTTGCCTTTACACATGATATGTAGCAAAATATGTTGTTAATAGTTTTCATCATTTGAAATCGCTTAATGGAACTTTCTCGGAGCACGGAGTGTACCGCGTCGTTCTAAAGGCTTTCTATTGGCCAATTTGAATTATTTTGAAAGTAGTATGACATTAAACCAAGCATTAAACTCCAAATATATAATTCTCAACTATTACATTTAGCAAAATAATTAATTCTACTATTGTTTTAATAAATTATATTTACATTCGTTTTCGTCCTATAAAAGGAATAATTTTTTTCACCCAACAATGTTGTTTGTATGTTACGACACTGGCAGGCATGCCTTGGTGACAAATGGTCACAGATTTATTGAAAGTATTACCTGTCATCTCTCTTTCCTAGTCTAAGGCTATAGACATATTCAGACTACACTACAGCACTTGATTAAGATAGCAGACTCGTCCTCCATTTTGAAGCCCACTGACAGTCTGTCAGATATAACGCTTAGTTGTTTGATCGTTATGTTGTGTTATGTTGCCAAGGTAACTTACTGTCATGAGAAGCACGTGTTTTGCAAGCGTCATTTGTCAGTGGGCTCCAAAATGGCGGACGAGTCATCTGTTATATATACAGGGTGGTGACTTCCGTAACGCATCATAGGGATTTCAATGTAAAATTCATAACATGCGATTATTGGCTCCCCAAATTATTTTAGAGCAAAAATGTATTAAGGTTTTTTGTAGAAAAATTTTTTTTACGTCAATCAACCGTATTAGTTTTCAATTTTTTGCATAATAAAGACGGAAAATTGGAAAATAAAACCCCCATCTTTTTCAATAATCTGCGATTCCATGGAATTTTCTAAAACAAAAAGATATCCAGTTATCAATTAGCAGCAGTTCGAAATGGCTTTTATGATCGACTTGGTTACTGTATTGCAGTTAATGGTGACTTATTCGGACATTTATTGTAAATTGTTATATTAGGAAACCGTTTTTAGTAATTTGGTCTTTCTTTATGTTGAATTCGCTGTTCTAAATATAATACTTTTTGATAGAATTTGATTTGTTTTATAGCTGACATTCCATGGCATGACGGATATTGGCGTAGTTTTTGTATTATAAAATTCCATGGCATCACAGATTATTGAAAAAGATGGGGGTTTTATTTTCCAATTTTCCGTCTTTATTATGCAAACAATTGAAAACTAATAGGGTTGATTGACGTAAAAAATTTTTTCCTACAAAAAACCTTAATACATTTTTGCTCTAAAATAATTTGGAGAGCCAATAATCGCATGTTATGAATTTTACATTGAAATCCCTATGATGCGTTACGCAAGTCACCACCCTGTATAGTAGCTATAGACTACACGGTCACGTCTCCTTCCAGACCGTCAAAATGTGTAAACGAGAATATTTTACGTTTCGTTGACGATGGGGTAACGGAGCGGTGACGGTACGTATAGATGAATCGCGCTGCATGTCAATGTGAAAAGAGTTACGTCAAAAAGGAAGTTTGTCCCCAACAGGAAAATGTATTTTAAGAAAAAGGTTTGGGTTCTAACGTTGAATTCTGAAGCACTAACGATTTATAAAATTTGATGCAAATTGGAGTCATTGACCAGGCAAACGTGAAGTTAGCCCGAACAAATAAAAAAGGTATTCTGAGAAAACGGTTTGAGTCCTAACGTTGAATCATGAAGCACTAATAAGCACTAACAAAGCACTAACGATCTACAAAATTTGATGCAAATTGGAGTCATTGTGCGGGCAAACGTGAAGTTGACCCGAACAAAAAAAAATTTTTATTTTGAGAAAATGGTTTGAGTCCTTATGTTAACTTGTGAGGCACTAACGAGCACTAACAAAGCACTAACGATCTAAAATGGTGCGATGCTGCCGGGCTATTTTATTCAGGCCAACTTCACAGAGATCAACTGCAGGTGTAATTAAGAATTTAGACTTGTGTAAACGAGACTTTGAAATACATATTCGTAAATATCATGAATAGTAATGAGGTATGTGTAACGGCACCATGATAGGTGGAGCAACAATCAATGATTGTGTCCTTTCGCTTCTGGATAAAAGGAGATTTATTGTGGTCGTATAATGGAGCAGCTTTTTTCCAAAGTATTATAAGTACAAAGCGAAGTGAAACGGCTCAGGGGCTGAAAACAAGTCTTTCAATCCGTGATTTCGTAATGCTCTATAAACGAGTCCGCCACATTTTTCGAGATGCGTTAAAAGCATAGAAGGAGCGCCATGGATCTACCGTTGTATGGGAGAGTGGTTTTGGGACCATTCAATAGATAGAATAAGTCGTTCAGTCAATCAGTGCGTGCATTTGTATAGCGATAAATTTCGCGCTGAACCACCGCAGCGTATTAAAGATTAAAATCTACGATTGTTTTTGGAACCTGGGAACCAACTGCACCAGGCGGGAGCAGTACCTAAAACCCCGGTTACAAAATTTGGCGACCGTGACAGGACAGTGCGGTTAGGTTTTCAGCGCTGGAACTCACATCGTGCATAATTAAGGGATCATCTGAGTCTTCGCACTTCAGAGGCGACATTTCCCGTCTTTTCCGGAGCCCTTCAAGCTCGACTACTTGTAGAAAGGGCACAGGAAGCCCTAGAAGGAGGTGCGTTTATCAAAAACACAAGTTCTGAATAACCCGAGGGAAACCTTTCTAATCGCACATCTCAAAGACTAGGAGAATTAGAGATGTCAGGGAGAATTTGTTATTTTGGTAGTTTGCCCATTGTAGGGTATCCGCTTCGGACTATAATCTTTTATCGGTTTATGAGAAGTCGATTCTCTGTACATTTTAGAGGTCAAGAGTACTAAAAGTTCTTCTGGAGAAGTTGGAAGAGACAGAGAAGCAGGAAGGGCTAAAGAATTGCAGGCTATGGGGAGATTGTTGTAGGAAACTGGGGGTGTCAATTAGACAAGAGATGCGACAGAGAGGGCGTAGAGTAGAGGGGGGGCTTGAGGTATAAGAAACTGGAGAGATACGAGAAGGAGTGGAAGCACTGGAGAGACACAAGACAACGTGCCGAAGGTAATAAGTAAGTAGAGAGGCTAAAACGAGCAGAATGAGACACTTATGATACTACGGGGCTTTGAGTAACCAGCAAGAAATGACCGATTTAGAGATGCTGAAGAAAGTGGAACCGCTAAACAAACTAGGAGGAATAAAGTACCTGGAGAATCTAGAATATGGCTGCATCGGGAAGGTGAAGAGACTACACAAGATCGATAAGCTGCCAGTTTACCCATGTAAATTCTCCCTCAAGGAAATTCGCCTCTCGGAAGATGCGCCCCCGAATGCTTCACCCCGGAAAACTCGCGTACAGGATATTTATTTGCTCCCGATAATTTTTCCCCCAAGACCTGTCCCCGGAGTATTCTCCCAGAACATTTGCCCACGGATGATTTGCCCGTGACAATTCGGCCATAGAAGATTCATATGCGGAGGATGAGCCCGGCAAATTGCCCCGAAGACCTCGCCCACTGAAATTTTGCCTATGGAAAAATATTTACCTCCAGAGGTATACTGTCGACAAATTATAATGGAGGGGAGAGACGGATCTTCTCCTCTTGATGGCTGCGCTGCGAATAATCTCCGTACACACCGCTGCGACGGTGGATCAAATAATGTCGAAGTGGTTCTAAAAGTTGACGTGCTCAGAACGTCAGCTCGAAGCAATATCGTTCCAGTTCCTCCGGAAAATCCGCCTTCTATTTGTATCCACACACGAAGGTGG